GGGGGCGGGGTGGGTGTGTTGTTTGTGTGTGTTTTGTTTAAAGCATCTTTGGAGCACTTTTTTCCAGGAACATGTTAAGTTCTTCCTGGTGAACATATTGCTCAAAGGAAACCAGTCTGTTGCCTAAAAGTGCAAAGGCAAACCCAGGAGTTCTGAGTTCAGTTTGAGAAGTGAACACTTAAATTCACCTCATGAGGCGATCCACCTTCTCTTTAAACTATAAGGGACAGATGCTCACCCCATGTAAACTGTCAGCATTTCACTGGAGTCCTTGGTGTAAACTGTCAGCGCATCAAGGTCAGGATTTGCCTTGAGTCATCTCGTCTCTCAAAATACAGACTGAACAGAGCTCAGGTAAAGACATTTTTATACCTGTAATGGTAAATAAAAATATTCAGGCTTGACAATACTCTCAAGAGCAGTAAGAGATCAGTCTGCCCTCATACACACTGCTTACCCTCTGAGCAAAGTAACAATCCAGCAATTGTTTGTGGTTACAGAAGATCTCCAGCTTAAACAGTGCCAGGTAGGAAGTGCAGATTGAGACTTTTCGAGGTACTTCGCTCCCTCCTTCATGAGTACACATATACGACTCGGCACTGCTCAGGACTAAGAAAATCAAACACTTGCAGAGACTTTTAAACTTCAACTTACCTGCAAGGCCAATTCTTTCTTATAACAACTAAGTACTTCACACATTGTACTACATGTCCAGATGTCTACTCAGGCAAGAAGGACCTTTATTTGGTGCATATGATGTCACATATCTCCACTTTCATATGGGTTTATACAGTAAAATTAATTTCAGTAATACTTCTGCTGACACTGACTGTATGGGAAATACACTTCAGACAGGAAGAGAACTAAAAAAGAAATCCAGTTGAAAAAACACTGTATAACAGTTAAAAAATTTGAAATTATTTTACAAAAACAAAGGAATAAAATATAGTCAGTATAAACACACAGACATTCTGTAAAGGAAATATATCCTGGTGTCCTTGCCCCATGTCAATGGCCCCATCTTGTGTCCCAGTTATTTTTAAAGCAGGCTTTATCCAGTAAATAAGGATGGAGGTAGGGAAGAGAATGGAATAAAACCCCACCAGTCTCCTCTTAGGAAAATAAGACTTAATTAAAAAGTCTGCCATTGTTCTGCACTTAATTAGGGCTAACACAGCTGTTAATAAGTTTCTGATTGATAGTAAACCTGATGTCTGCACAGAAAACTACTTACTTGGTTCAAAGATGCTGATAGTTTCATACAGAAAAAAGATTCTGTTTTGTAATTGTGCATAATGTTAATATTTGAAACATCCTTAAGGGTGATTGTACCTATTAAAATTTCATATGTGAAATGAGAAATAAATGAATTGATGTTGCATTTTTAAAGGATCAGATTACTGTTGATTAAAGCTTTGTCTACACTCGAAATTTCCCAGTAGAACAGCTCTACTGGTTGTTGTAATAATAGAACAAGCAGACATAGGCTGCCAGCAACCGCTGTTTAAATTGCAATGTCATACAGACCTGATCTGTAATGGATTATACAAGACTGTGGATATAATGTGGCTGTAACAGTTAATACTGCCAACCTAGCTACTCTTACTGAGTGTAATAGAAAAAGATGGAACAAAAAGTCACTATAGATGCAGTTGGAAATTTAGTACTTGTCAGTAAAGCTGAGATATAGATCAGAGTATTTATGCACAGCATGGTAATCTGAATGCTACCACGAATTCTTGTCCTACCGGAGAAGTTAAAAATGTCAAGCAACAGTAAGTGAAGGGGAAGATGAAGTTGAAGGACAGAGCAAGAGAGGGAAAGATGAATAAAATTATTTGGAAGTAGAGGGAGAATCATTTGAGGATGGTAAACTTCATAGAAATAGAGGGGAAGAGAAACAGGCCTCTAGAGGGAAAGGAGAAATAAGAAATTCCCATGCAAGCTACTTTTAATTTTTCAATAGTGCTCCTCCATGTACCAAATACAGCGAAGAGACTAAAGTAAGCTCTGAGGGTTGAAAGGGAAACACAGAGAAAAGCCACATCAAAAGGAGAAACAAGAAAGAGATTTGTGGAAGAAGAAAAGAAATCTTTTGACAAATGAAAAAAATCAACAGAGAAATGTAGGTATTGAAAAGGAGTGAAAAAAGGCATAAAGAAGAGGATAAGGAAGAAAAAGGAAAAATGCATGGAGCTTATTATAAGAGCTCTGTTTTGTTTAACAAGAGGTTTAACGCTAGGAGTCACTGACATGAAAGTTTCTTCTCCAGTTTTTGTGAAGATGATGTTCTACTCTTCTGCAATTCCAACACAAGCTCAACCACTTGGCACCTCCCAATCACTCCCATCCACAGTCTGGCAACATCGCCCTTGAGATACATCCAGCCTGTATCCTAATTCCTCACCCTCTTCTCTCCCTGTAACCTGACACAGCTCAGCTTTGGGCAGGAGGCAGGTTACAAGCCAGGGATCTGACAGGCTGCTGACCTCTTCCACCTGAGCCCCACAGCCCTCCACTGTACATCATCAAAATGCACCAGCACGTCAGGGCAACGCTGGACATACGTGAGACTTACACAGGGCAACACAGGGCATATATCCTGTCTGTGGCAAAACCTGTGAGGAGCTGTGGAAACAGAAATGTACCTAGGCAAAACAGAACATAGAAAATAAATCCAGAAGTGAAGAGGAGAGGTTAATTAAGTCAGAAAAGGGGAGTTCAATGTCAAATCTGTTGAGGAGCCAGCCACAAAAAGTGTGCTCTAACCCAAATATTTTAAGATTGACAAAGCTGGGAAATTATTTAAGACCTCAGGATAGGCGAATGCACCCACAAGAAGTAAAGAGCTCACTCTCTAAAGGTAAATTATACTTAGTGTGTTCCGTTAATGCTGTAAAAATGACGTAACCCTTTGATGTGAAGTAGTGCATTTTCAGGCTTCCTTGGTTCAAAAGTGCGGCAGTGGTAGAAAGTGTCAGCACGTCCGCTGGGCGTGTGGAAATTTTATCTGTGTTACAAAAAAGTGTGCTTGATAACAGAATACCAGCACCCACAATACTGTGCCCCATCAGGGAAAGAAGTTTACCACTATGCAACTACAGTGATGAGGTAGGACTGCCACGAGGTTGGCTAATGATGCAGCCAGTGTTTTAATAGTGAGTCCAGACATGCCCTTCAAATGACTGTCTCACTAAATGAAAAGAATGAGCACTGTCGGTTAACAGCCAAGGAGACAGTTATTCAGGCCACAATCTGACCTAACATTTTGGTGTCATGAGAAGCAGAAAGCAGTCTGGACTTTGTAAGAGATTTGAACCACATCAAATAAAAACACTGTGATTAATAGAGCTCATATGTGAAGTAGACTTCCCTTGCTACTGTGTGAGTGCACAACAAAAAGAGAAGGGACAACTTTCCCCTTAAAGTGAAATTCTTACTGAATTCTGACAGAAAAGTACAGAAATCTGTGACTTCCTCACAGTCTGCGTTTTGTAGAACACCCCTTTTGTGCCCAGCTCCTCAACAGACATGACTTTGATCTGATCTGGAAAACAGAAACTAGAAAATTAATACTCCCCAAAAGGTGTCAGATTATAGACAGTGAGAATGAGTAATATATTACCCTTTTAATATTGTATAATGTCAAAAAAAGGCTCTTATTTCGTTTACTGTAAATAAGATCTCTCCAAGTTTTCACATATGTACAGAGAAAGATTTTGGCCTTATAACAGAAATACTTCACACCTAAATAAAATCAAGGCTGTAATGTCTGTAAGAGGAATTTCAAAGTTATTTGGAGATCAAAAGATATTTAAGTACGTAGCATCTCCTCGGACTGATATTCTCAGCAGAATTGCTTGAATAAGCCGTAACACAGACTGTACATATATTTAAGGAAATTTTGCTCACATCATGTACCACAATGCCAGCCTACTGGAGAGACCTGTCCTTAGAGATGGCTTTGTCTTTGAAACAGTAAATCACATTGCAATTTACACATATGTATAATAAACCTAAGCTTAATGGTAGCTCATCCTTTTGAAAATGAAGATTAATTAACTTGTAAAGGCCATTTCTCTAACACCTGTTTTATTTAAGGAATTTAATCAACACACCAGAAATTCAGCAGTGAGAACCATAGCAATTCCATTGTACTTAAAATACATTTCCTATTTGTCAAGCTTTAAATAAGTTCTACTTAAAAATAAGCAATTGACAGCAACCTAAAATAGCAGTAACAAATTCCATAGACTGAAGCGCTTGTGCTATAATGCCTCAAGCAAATTTATAAGCAATTTCCTAGAGTATTCTCAGAGTGTAAAGCATGCAGTTATCAGGAATCCCTATTACAGATTCTGGCCTCATTTTTTCCCCCTAAATGTTTGTGACAAAAGTAAAGAAAGTAAATGCAAGTAAAACACAGCAGAATGGATTTGTGAAAGCAGACTGCCTACCTGGCATGGTGCCTATTAGTAGAGAACAAATAAATTACATACATTTTTAGACAATTCTGTAATTTGTAGTCTGACAAAAATACTATCAGTGGATGTCCTCTTCCAGGTTAGAAGTTCACACTGCTCTTAGATTTTCTTCAGTGCTAAAGGAAAGCTAAAGCTTTCTGATTAAAGGGTTCAGGAGAGTAAAGAGGCAAACACTTCAGGATATATTTGTCCATCTTTATAGAGTCTGCTCATTTTGGCACAAGTAATAGTTGTTTACTCTTAGATTGTTCAGAGTTGATGAATGTCCTATGATTTCTTTCTGGTTCTGAATGAACAGCAGAGTTCAGTAGGCTTTTATTTCCCAGTTCCTGGGAGGAAGGCACCAAGGACTTGTCCTATTCTCCCTTCTTTTCTTGGCAATCCTGATTCCCCTTTGAATTTGAGACTGGAGATACTGACCTACCTGCAGGGGACTAGAGTTTTAGAAAAATAAAAATAAAGACTAGCACTTTATAAAACTGCTGAAAAGGTGAGAAGAAAACAGATATGAACAAAGTAGTGCAACAGAGAACAATTACAAAATACTATTCTAGGGTAACTTTACTGTTGTATAAATTATAAAATATGTAAAAATAAGATCATATAGAAATAAGAGATGCATTATAACAGATAATTTTTGATCTCTCCTACAGAGACAAGCTTCTTACCTTTCAACTTTAATTCCAATCTGAGACAGAACTTTCTGATTTAAAAACTTTATACAACTATTTTCATGATTTCAATCTTTACTAACTAGGCTTCTGAATCTTAATCACAGATATTAACTCACCACAATATTCAAACACAATTTAAAATGGTATCTTCATGTTATAAAAATGAGAGATCAAGAACTGTATCTTCATCTCTCATAAAAATGATGCTCTTCTGTGTCTCTTTGATCTGTTTCATGGTTAAAATTCAGTCAAGACAGGATCAATGGTCTTCACTGGACAAAATCCAATGTTTGCTATAAGATTTATCTCTTCAGAAAACAAGACAAAGCTAGCAAAACAGCTGAATATTCCTTGGTACAGATCTTTAATTTATAAGATTCAGTGATTTTGGCAATAAACATAATAACAATTTATACCTACTGAAAAGCTAAGCCTTTTACTTCAGTACAATGACAACAATTTCTTGACTTTCAGAAATATCATTCTCTAAATGCTCTTGCTAACACAAATAGTATTCAGTACTAACAGATAAAGTAATCTGATATTTTTGAAGCTTAAAATAATACTCCTAACTGTACAGGTAGAAATGCAAATATCTAAGACCCTGGTCATCTCAAAAGGAAATACTGGTTCCTCTGCATTGCGTTTCCTACCTGAGTGCAAAATAGTATTTTACCAGGGAAATATGAAACCACCAGTTATTACATACACATTACTTCATCTCTCAGTTTAAACAAACTTTCAATAAAATGTTAGCAAGGGCACTTGATAAGGTACTTGCAACACTAAGTTGTCTTCTTTCCAAGTGTTACATTTTGTAAAAAAGTTGTGAGACTTTTTTCTTGCCAATCAGTGAAACAAGACTGAAGGGACTGAAGCAATCAGCTGACACACTTTGGAGGATTAAAAAGGCTGAGAGAACAAGCATCGATTAAGTAATTTTGGACATGGCTCTATCTGGGGGGAAAAAAGCGGTCCAGGTAAGTGACAACATCTGTATGTTTATCATCGGTAAAATTCTCATACAACTAAACTCCTGGAAACGTTGTATGCACACTTTTACCCGTGGGCAAAGCCATATTTCTTTTCCCTTGTACAACACAGAGAAACAGACTTCAGAAAAGGGGGGGAAGAAAAAAAAAGAAAAAAAGAGGGGGCAGGAAGTAAAATTATACACTTATAGGAAAATAATTCAAAGCAGGTCTACATGATGCTCAACTCAAAGTGGCAGTTACAGTCACAAGTCAGGAAAGCAATCTCGGAGCCATCCCTGAGGGCTGTCTTGGCATCAGTGGCTGGACAGACAGTGGTACCTAGAAGGCCCAATACATTTGACCTTGCGGAGGTGGTATTGAGAAGACAACAATATATACCATGTTCCTAATATATAAAACCTTGGTGCCTCTGCATCTTTTCACTGTACAAAGTTCTGGTCCCCACGTCTCAAGAAGGACATAGTGGAGTTTGAATAGGTAAAGAGAATGGCAATTAAAATAACCATAGTAATAGACCATCCATGTATGAGAAGAGATTAAAAAGTCTGGGACTCTTCAGTTTGGCGAGAAGGTGACTGTCGAGTGGTATGACTGAGATTTTGCTTAATAATGAAAGTAAGCCACAACCTATACTTCTAGAAATAAGGACCATCTGATGAATTGAGTAGAAGATCAGTTTAAAACAGAAAAAAAAAAAAAATTCTTTACTCAGTAAATGGAGCATTTCTGGATCTTGCAACTATGGGCAGCTGCAGAGGCAGATGGTATCAGCATATTCAAAAAGGAATCAGACATATTAATTGACAACAGGTCCATAATGAATACGAAAAGGATTATGTTGGGATGTATCTTCTAATAACCCTAAGAACAATTCTGGATGCCAGAGTACTACATGGGAGGAAATAACCAGGCTTCTATATTCTCACTAAATGGCATTTTCTGTTTTCACTGTCAGAGAGAGTACTGAGCTAGATGATCTCACATAGCCTATATATTATAAATAATCCTATTTAGTTTATTTGGAAGGAAACAGGTCCCTTGGACAGGCATCCTATGTAAGTCTGCTAGGCATGGTGATCAACTACCAACTTAGTAGCAGGAGCAATCATCTCCATACAGCAGTGCTGCACACGGGGTACACAAAGGTTTGGGATTTTTTTCCCCTATCACTTTAAAATATTTGGGCCAAGTCCTGTCTTTCTTCTTGTGGGGGAAAGAAGGAGGAAGAAAAGGGAAATATAAGCAAATTCCAACACAGCCATTGCCACAATTAATTTGTGCATACACGGTCCATACAGTGGAATCCAAAATGCAGCATTTGTCCTCTATCTGTGGAAGAAGTGCCAGAGTGATGAATGATGTGAAAGGAGAGATGAAATGATAAGAAATTAAAGAAAAGTCCTCCCTGAGAAAGGAACTGGCTGCAGCCAGCATGCTCAGAAAAAAAGAGTAAGCTGAAGTCTCCTGCTTCTCATACTCCATGCCTAGGCTAGCATAAAAAAAGAGCAGTAGCACTACCATCACCACCTCTACTTCCACAGGGCCCATTTCTGAGAAAGTGTAGTTTTCAGTGTTTTTTATAAATCTTATCCTGTGACACTCTAGAAACACTCCCTGACCTAGCTCTTGGCCTAGGCCTAAGACCAAGACTAGAGATGTCTGGGGATGCTCAGCAGACAAAGTCATTCCTGTCCATGGAGCCTGGAAGTAAGGATGGCAGTTTCCATATCTGCATGAAACAGAATTTCTAGAACTTTGATTTTGGCATATAAAGTGTATTTAAATCCTTTTTTTGCATATAGACCACTCACTTTTAATTAATACAAGAAAATTCCGCTGTAATAAATATGCATTATTACTCCATATTAAGAGCTCATTCTTTGCTAAGTAGCCTCTTTGAAAGCAGAAACCATCCAATGTAACAACCATGCTCTCAGACTGCAGCACAGCAAGCTACCTTGTGACTGATAAACCTGAGAGCCTTAGAGGTCACAGCTAATGCAGAATCAGTATTTGCATTATGACTTTTCCTTGCTTCAGCTGAAGTTTCAAGAGAACCACTATGAAAGAAAATTCAGTATCTTGGGCAATTATCTGAAGAAATCAAATTACAATCCTAAACATCGGACTCCAGTATTAGTTGTCGGCTTATACATCTGTTGTTTATGAACAATTATTTATCTTTTTTTTCCCCCGCCCCCAAGATAGCATCGCAAGATGGCTACTGACATTATTTAGAGAGCATATGTACAAAAAAATTGGCTGTCTTGTGAAAGATTCTTCTTCAGTGCCCCTAAATATTGCTATCTTAAGATTTTTCTGCCACACTCCTCCTCCCATCCCCTATATACATATACCCCATACACCTGAAGAGAATAAGCAGGAGACATTACCTGTTATGGACTAGGTATCTAAGTCAAAATGGTTTCTTACAGTGCACAGTACTTTCATGACAGCTGTATGGTGAGAGTTCACCTTATGTCCTAGTATTTATTTCTCTTCCTATACTACATTAAAATGTTCCAACAGATATCAGCAATTTTTCTCTACACTAGGTCACACTCAACATTTCCTAATTCACTCTCAATTCTACTTATT